AAATTTGTTGAAATATATGAGAAGGTCTAACAGTCAATTAAATCCTAGCGAATGTACCACCTCGTGCAGTTCAAAAACCACTACAGCTGAAAATCCAGAGAATGAAAACTATTTCACGGAGAGCTGTTAACATAAGCATTAATAACAAGACGCCACTGAAAACTGACACCCTGTTGTTGTTCTCCTTATTTTATTTTCCACTCTTTGTCTTTAAAAAGCAGCTTTAAATTAGTAAGATCATTTCCTGGCTTTCAATGTAGTGAAGGGTGAAATTAGGAAAAAATATGTTTTCACTACTGTGCATTAATATCTGGATATTTGCATTATAAGCCTAAATGTTTAACAAGTGTCCAAAGCAGAAGAGCCCAAGCTAATACGAAAAATGTGATAATCTATAGAAGAACAATTCCAATAATATAGGTGGCAACTCTGAAGAGAGAGTACAGCATTGTACAGTCATGAATGAAGAACAGCACACTGACGTTTCACAAGGTGCACAACAGCAACCCATAAACATAGTATGTATATAGTATGTATAAAAAGATGTCTCTTGGGCCCATATTTTCCCCCTAGGTAATTCATAATTTAATTAAAACAATTTAATTCATAAGGATTGTACAGTATGCTGCTTCTAAACAGTCAAGGTTATTATCTATCCATCATATCCATCTCTACTCCACTCAGTAACCATTGTTGCTCACTGATATTCGTCGAAAGTCTTAGAAAGATTAAGAATCAGAAGCAGCGAGCGTGCTTCTAGAATGCTACAGATACTGGGTTTGGACAGCGCCATCAGGTACCAACCCGCTACAGTGCATAACGTGAGTTACAAATTCAGTCCAATAACCAACAGCTGAAAGTCACATCATTACTCTTCTTCAGTCTGGGGGAGTTCTTACCTACTTTTAAGCTCATAAAATTCAAAGCAGATTAACAAGGCCTCTACCTGGTTTCTTTTTACAGTCTAGGTGCACATATATCTTGAGAAAATAAATATTGACATTTGTCAACTCCTACAGCCTTCTACTGCATACATTTTCAATGTGTACTGTAACATACCTCAGTCAGAAACAAGATAAATGATCTACGTGCATGCCACACTTAATATTTGAAGACTTCTGTTGCATTATATATCGAACAAGCTTGACAGCTTTTGCCCAATGTTCTTTTTATATGAGACATTTGTGTTTTTCTTTAACTTATGCTTAGACTATTTAGCACAAGCTGAGAGCTCCTTTCGAAGAGCGGTTTTAGTGTCGTCATAAATGCAGCTCCGGTGAGCAATAAAATGAAACAACAAAAGAATGGCGAGAACAAATCAATAAATAAAAGAAATAAACTAAAATGGTACAGATTCTATAAGCCAGAGTGATTTTACAGATTTGTGTGTCTGGTGAATCAAGAAGAAACATATGATTCATTATAGGCAGAGGACCGGTTTTGTAAAATTGTGTTTAAAAAAAAAAGTTAATTAAAATACAAATTATTTGAGGGGCACATGATCTAGCTGAATGGTGTCATACATGCTTTGAGAAAAATATTATTTGAAGTACCTCACACTGAAAACGAGTTAGATAAATGGAGAGTTTTATAATGCTGTATTTTCACGTAATATTAACAAGATAGTAAAACTAGTACAGTAGTAATTCTGCTCCTGTACAGCAGCTCTGTGGTTTCCATACTTGTGTTAACTATCTGTAAAATGTATTAAATTATGAACAGTATAAATAAACATAACTAGTCATAAAACCTTGCAGTTGTTCATAAAAACTCCTCTTTTTTACAGCCTCTTTCATAGTGTACCTCTGAAACATGGCTGGGCTGTCCACTCAGTTTCGTGTGTGATACCTGTGGGCGCAAAAGTGAAAGAGTGAATGCACCTTGCATGAAAACCCAGCAGCGATCAGAGGGCCTTCACAGAGGTCCTCTGGGTGGGTGAACCTCGTGTGACAGAAATGTGACTGCTGACAAAACAGCAGAAATTCTTTTTAAAGTAAAACCCCGCCTTTAAGCTTGTTCTCAGCATATCTGAGTCCTCCTGCAGGAATGCTCTGCCTCTCAGTTTGATGGAGAGATAATCTGATTCAAAAGACCGGGGCAAAGCAGAAAGGCCCATATTGTACTGCTCCTCTGCCCCTACATTTACCGCAGTGCTGTCTGACTTGCACTTCCCAACAATAGCGTTTTATTGCACGATCAAGTCAAGGGGACAACATTTTTTTTTCTGCCTGAACAATGAAAACCCTTTTGCTCATTTTGCTGTGTGAGTGATCTGAATTCTCAATTATAAACAACGCGTGATTTTCATGGCCTGATCTCGACATGATACAAATTTAACGAGGCAAAATAGAACTTTCAAGAAAAAGAAAACAAAGCACAGAACGGCCCAGGGACAGGCGTAAGTGCCAACATATGATGATGGAAAGGGGTTGCTGTAACCCAGGTTTTCACATGTTACAAGCATCGGTGGCACTTCAGTTTAGGAGAAATATCAGAAGAGGATTCATCTTCACTTTGTGGAAAGGAAAGCAGGCAAGGACAGCCTGGGGTCTGTTCTGTAACTGAGAGATGAATTAGATTTCATGTTCAGAATTATTGTCAATCAGAGCAATATTGACAGAAGATATTAAAAAACAGGAATCATAAGTCTTCTTAAACTGAATCGGAATTCTCTGAATTCCCAAGAGCCTCTGCATCGAATACAGATATTGTCTTTTGATGTCCAATGTTTCATTAAATGCTGAATTTAATTTAAGAGCTGGACACTGTAGGTTGTTAGTTGGGAAAACAGTTTCAGTTTATAACTGAAAATGGTTGGAAGAATGAAGTGTCTTCTTTGCACATAAGTTGTCAAGCGTATTAGTGAAACAATCAGGGTTCGAATGTTGGAAAAAAGAAGAAAAATTACAAACACAACCCTTTCAAGTTTCTTAAAATAACGTTTTTTTTATGGCAATTAGAAACGTATGGGAAGCACCTACAGTATATGTGTGTTGAAGTAGGGAGCTGCGTGAGGGTGCGTAGGCTGCAAAGATACAAGTTTAAGTTTTATTCCATGCTGAAAAGAGAAGAAAGAAAACACAGCGTTTCGGCTCTGGGTCTTCGGGTGTGAGGGTGATATGGTATGATACTTCAGGTACTGTATATGTGTGTTGGTTCAGCTCTATAAGATGGGCTAATTTTATTTTCCCAAGTCCTCCAACATCCTTCAGTCTGGAGCCTGATGTGCTGCTGTAGTTGATGTGTTGCTGTCAGACCAGCTGTATCTGCACCAGATTTAATGTGCCTCATTGCTGGTCCCCCATCCTACTGACATCCAGAGTCCAGGCAGCACCCCTGGAAGGCTCTGGACAGCCTCCAGGACAAGAGAGAGCACTAGCTCATTTTTGCCAGTCGAAGAAAATATTTTGTATTCTACCTGTGAGGTACTATTTAACTGTCATTATCATGATTAAAAAACAAAAGAAACACTGCTTTTTATGCTATATGCATGAATTATTTATATGCCATGATTTTATATACAGTATTATCAGTGCCATAGATGGTGACTTATAATATTCAAGGCAAACCACATTAGGGATATGAATACCACATAAGACGTCCACAGTGACGAAACATCGTGTCCTAAAAAGGTAATTGTAACGGTTAATTCCGCGCTCAAAAGGAATAGGAAAAACGAATACACGATTCTTCGGGTATGAGTCGTGTACGTTGAGTACTAAACCTAATACAGGATACAAACTGAGGCGCAAATAATAACAATGAAACACTTTATCTCTTTTTTTTAAACGCACTTACAACACACAAAACCTACTAAATATCAATGAATGAATAAACTCTTGAAAGCCATTTTGACTCCGTCTTTTTTACAATTGTATTTTCTGACGGCATTTATTTTTAGTATATGATTCCAGGTGGTCTTCTGAAGAATCACAGAATTGCAAAGCAGCCCTTAGACCGGTGCACGGTAACTCTTCGACGACAACGAGATGAAAATGTAATTATAACAGAAAATCGGAGGTGTAAAATGAGTTTGGTTTCAAGACGTTGCTGTTGGAGAGTCTCTCCCCTGTTTCCGTACTCAATCAGTATTTGTGTGATGTAACAGAACCGACATAGGCATGGAAAGCAATACCATCTGTCAGAAGAGAGATCAGCTCCGAGCATAGCACAGCCTAAATCGGAAAGTGTATTAATGAAACGATCAACTTTTGAATGTCACAGACAAGAAATTACAAACCCGAGCTTTTCAAGTTTCTCAAAATGAAGTTTCTTTATGTTACAAACTTATGGAGAGTATCCATTGGTAATCACGGATATTGTCGTTCAAAATGTGCAAACAGTTGGCTATATGAGATCACGTTTTGTACAACACATTTAGAAGGTAACTATTTCCACTCTGAAATTAAATCCAGTGAAATTCCTGAGTTCCCAATTTGGGAACAGTGCTGTTGGTCAAAACCAACTCTTTAATACAGAATCCCTGCCATAAAGTTTGTGGCGCTAACCCTAGGATGCACGTTAATTTATGATGTTGAATTCAACCTTTTTTTTAAAATAAAAGCAAATGATAGTTCAAAACTGACCACCAATCACATTAACATCCAGTATAATATACAGTACAAAATGATCACGTAATCTTTAAAATGAGCGTTAGGCAACATCTAGGAGCTAAACGTATGCTGAAGAGAAACAATGTTATGTTCTTTTAAGATGTATTTTTCCTGGGTATTATGTGGGGACATTCCAATCAAATGTATATAAACATTTAAACATCGATAAGGAATGTGAAGTATTTTTTAAAGATGCCTGTAATATTTACTTTTCAAAAGCGTGCCGCCGATTTTCTGAAGAAGCACATAAGCAGACAAAAGTTTACATCCCCCAAAAACATTCCCACCGCTTTGGGGACGATCGAATATATGGGTAAAAGCTGCTTTAATCTTGATAGCACCGATGGCCGTATTCTATAATGCAATTGCTTTCATAAGGAGACTTACCTATTGCGTGCGTCTCGGTCCATCCTTCGGGTTTGATTTCAAAACCGACTTTCGACTTAATGGAAACCAGCTTCGCCCGAGCCCCTGCACCGACTACCGACTCGGAGCACAGCAAAAGCACAGCTGAAAAAACTTCCTCGGCTCAGGCTGCGTGCAGGTTGCTAACCGGGCAAGCATAGGAGCTGGGGTGGGAGACTGTGCAGCTCTCAAGCTGCTGTCCAGATCCTCTTAGCGCTGAAAGGCTGGGGCTTACACACTCGTGCAAGCCTGCACTGCAAGCACGTCTGACAGCCGGCTCGTCTACTGAGGCATTAGGGACAAGCCTGCAGCCGTAGAAGCGAAATACTGAAATACCCGGTTTCAGACGAACGTATTAATACACCCGCTTCATCACGCCGACGTGCGGCTGCACTGGCGTGTGTCTTTAGTAGCGGGAATTGAAAGCGATGTAGTGTGTCAGTAAAGTACATCGCGGGGAGGGAAAAAAAATAAATAATTTTAAGCCTATTAGATCTGAGACAAGCCGAGTGAAAGATAGCGATAGGCTTACTTGCCAACCTATTGAAACCAGTTAGACGCATAAGAATGATTAAACGTTACTTTTGAATCGGGTGAATTCCAGCAATATAATATAATGGTAAACAGTACCTCTGTATATTTTAAATAATACTCGAAGGTTTTTTTTTTTCGGTACTGCGATACAGAGTCACGACACTTGCACGGGAAGTCGCTTTCTCCATCAGTCCATGGTTTAACGGGACAGTTCATGCCCTGGTTGCTTGAATGCTTGTTTTCCTTCTCACTCGACAAAATGGCTTAGAACCGTTCACATATCCTACTTATAGCGACATACACGACGGGAATCTCACCCATTGCACAAATAAAGACGGGGTCTGATTATTCCACAAGAGGAACTGCAGAAGGCTTGATCCTATTTAGTCAGTGTGGGGTTTACTTGTAAACCTGGAATTGTTGTTGACCTGGGGTAACGTGGTAATCATTTTTTTTTGTAGTTCGTATTTAAAGAAAACGTGCGACGTACAGGCAACGAGACGATTTTGTAAAAAAAAAAGAGGAACAGTCATCATCCAGCCTTTTGAAATGAATTAAAATCAACTGTTTCCAACTAATGCAAAACTGGAAGAAACAGAAGAGAGCACAAGGCAGCCACCGTTTCTACAAACACCCGCCGCTACTAGCGGAACAGATGCCCCTGGCGCGGAGCGACTCCACACACGCTTGATCGGAGAGCCCCTCGGCATGTCTCTGGAAACACTGAGCTGCACATGTGTGATGTGCCAAAGATTTATCCGAAACGTGCGTCCTGCCTCAACAACCCCCCACCTTTAAAGGTGTCGGGTTTATAGTTAATTTTCAATGACAATCAGTTTTCGTAAGGAAACCGTTTTAAAGGGAAACATTTAAAGAGGACTTAACGATTTAATAATAACTTGCAAAAGGCAGATAAAGTGAAATCGTTTTTTTTTTAACTTGGTGTTGCGTTGGTCTCTGTTTATTCCGAAACAGTCTGATGGTGAAGTTGGCCTGGAGCCTGTCTGAAGAGGACAGGGCAATGATGAACCTTGAACCTTAGGTGCTTACCCATGTTGTCCGAGTACGTTGCCCACATCGGGTTCCTCTTATCAGATATGCTGAAAAGTGAAACAAAAAAAACAACAATAACTTTTTAAGCCTTTCTTCTGCACTATTGACGGTGGAATTAAACTCTACTCGTTTCTTTACAGCTCGCACGAAGACGTACAGTAGCTCATTGATCAAAGCATCAGATAACGGGGAATATCTTTAAAGACCACGCCTAGGTGAGAGTCATTATTTCAGTTTTGTTAAAATCCAAAACATGTATGGTAAAATGTAGGACAATATAGTAAACGCACCGCTGCGTGAAATTAAGACTGAATTCAATAGTTTTGTAATGAAAAGAAAAGTTTTAAAATCTTCCCCCCCAGATGTAGCACTCTTTCCATACCATACCTGTGGAGATGAAATCATGTTTGCCTTTTCTGATCGTCAACCAAACAAATACGCCACATCTCAAAAAGGCCTTACGGTATAGATTCAATGTCAATGTCAATATCTCTGAACACTACTCATTTTGTGGCTGATGGTTTTAAGATATGTATACGTAATGTTCATTTTAACGTATTTGGAACAACTATCTAGCCTTGTAAGGATCGGGCAAAACAGGTAATTAGGATTTGACGCTATATATATATATTTTCGTCTTTTGTAATATGAAAATTGTAAACCGGTCATTTTACAGCGGACACTGAAAACTTTGTAAAAGCGACATACTGCAAATAGGTTTGTTGCTTAAAGAGCAATACTCTTCCCAATAGTGTCATTTTGTTTCCTGATGTTTTCGTCGAGCAGGCTACATAAAATATAATATGAGTTAAGCAAGTATAAGCCGCCTGCCTTCAGCTCCTTGGTGCTAATTCCTAGCTGAAATATTCAAGAGAGCTCGCTGTGTTAGCTGTTCCTATGGTTACAGAAATACGGGAACTTGTTACTGGAGTTGGAGAAAGTGTGGGCGCAGGGAAAGGATTTAGTATATCGGGAATGCTGCGATAACAGGGTTTAGCTTCTGTGGCGGGGATTGTCCAAGCAATGGCCCAAAACTCTCAGAACCCGTGGTTCAGAGGATTAGCCTCTGTGCTTCGGACTCCTGTGATTAACCACCTACTTGCAGTGACATCAGCGAGAGACGTGGTGCTCCTCCGGTCAGTGCTGGCTCTCCTGTCAGGCGCTGTGCAGCTTGAAGCATGCCAGAAGGTCAAGGGTCAGCCCAGTGTGCACATCAGAGGAGCATGGCCACAGAACCTCAGTCTTCCTGTGGGAGTGTCCTAAAAAGTGGGTGATTCCAGATAGGGTACGTAATTAAAAAAACCCAACAGTAATTCCTTTTCCGAAGAAAACACAAGAAGTTGTGAAAATTGCTTACCTTATTATGTGAAGGACACATCAGCTCTCAGTTGGGGAGGAGAGCAGAGTAATAAAGCCAGTTCATAGGGATTATTAGGAGGCCATGATTGGTAAGGGCCAATAGGAAACTTGGGATTTTTAATGACCACAGAGAGTCAGTGCCTCTGTTTTACGTCTCATTTGAAGAACAGCGCCTGTTTACTGTATAGGGGCATTAGGACCCACACAGACTGCAGGGTGAGCGCCCCCTGCTGGCCCCACTAACACCTCTTCCAGCAGCAACCTTAGTTTTTCCCAGGAGGTCTCCCATCCAGGTACTGACCAGGCTTACACCCACTGAGCTTCAGTCGGCTGCCAGTTGCAAGTTGCAGACTTACGTTAACTCTTTAACTCCTACCTAAAATCTTCATTTTTTTTTGTCCTAGGTCACTACTTGCAGCGTGAAAACTGTTTTTTAAATTTAAGAGAAACCTGGGCTTCTGGACAGTTTTTCCACACAACAAAGAAAACATCGATAGTCTGATCTGTGAGCTCTGGGAATTTGCAGTCTTCCTGTAGGATCTGGCGTCTTTGAAAAAAGGAATGAGAGTGTCACTGAACATTGGCTATACTGCATATTTAGGTTAGTTGCTTTCTACACTTGGCCCATTTACATATTAGATCTTCTCCACCATCAACACAATATTATTCCTCTCTCACTTTTGAGAGCTACTATGTAGATTGTAAACTCTAGAGAGATCATTGGTTTCTGAATTGTGGTACAAGGGCATCTGAGGGGTACAGTATAACTTCTGTGCTCTCCAGCAGTTTAATCCTCATATTACTTGTAAATTGCTTTTACCTGAGGATCTTTGAAAACTGTCTTAAAAGTGCACAGCATTATGGACTACGTGTCAGACGAAACTATGATTAAGCACACTATAGCTAAATATAATTACTGAGATACAACTATAATGTAGTACCTAAATGACCAATATTGTTACTGAATTAAAACTACAGTATAATATCAGCAAACAGCAATAATTCATATTCCTATATATCACAATTTGTATCTATAAATACAATTTCATTAATGTTCTATAAAATGTCACCTGAAAGTGAGTAGCAATAGAATATCTGCATATATAAATCATTATTTCAAACACCTTAATCTAAAACGCGATCAATCATTTCTGTCCATGTCAACATGAAAATGACACCCCAGCCTGTTCCCACACTATGTCTTTAATCGGATCTAAAAGAAACATGAATCTGATGATGATTTTTTTAGGGTACACAATATCCAAAGATGAAAAAAGAGTCTTTAGGGATTAAGCATCTTTAAGCTTTAAACAAATTACACTCTTGACTAACCAAACTGTGATTCATTTAGAAAAATTGGTCTGTGTGAATAAGAAAGGAAAACTATAGTAAAAGTAATAATAGATAATGACAGTGGTTACTTTTGCAATAGTTGAATTAAACTATTTTTAAACAGAATAACAGTAAGTAAAACACAGTTGCTCATCATTGGCAAATAATAGCATGTGAAATGCTAGGTATGTAAACTTGGATTAAAATTAAGTATCACAATAATTGTGAATTTTTTTTATAAATGTAATCCGATTGTTAATTTATACCATCTTTTTACATTTGTTACAGAAAAATTCTACATTTATGCCGGAGCTCCTAACTTTTTTTTTTAATTCGATGATCTTGTGTTATCACAGCAAAGCGAGGCAGGGGATTTTAAAAAAGCACTTGTATGAGCCATCCCTATGTATGGTGACATTTTAATATCAATATTTTTAATTCATGGATAATTCTCCTGGCAGAGATTTAATTGCATTGATAACTCACCCTAAAAAGAGAAGGCCACCTCTGTCTTCCCTAATTTAAGTAATTAGACATGACAGATAATTTATTTCTTTATGTTGCCTCAAGCCCTATAGCCTGCACAGAACAATTGCAACACAGTGGTATGTTGTGACACTTTCTGTCATTGAGACTGCAAATTATTTATGTGTATAATTGTGCAAGATACATTTATCAGAATTATGTTGATTGGTAGACAGTACAGTAGAACACGGAGACATTTTGACCAATTCATACTGTATAAAGGCGGTCCACTCTGTTGAAATAAGTTTCAGTGGAAGAGATCTCTTCATCCAAAGACAACTATGCATTTTTTGTCAGAGATAGAGACCTTTCAGGTCCCTGAAAGCACTGTGGCTCAATGACATATCTTCCTCTTCTCCAGATGGCCTGAAGGGATCTGCAGGTTCATTTTCTCCCTCTTCTGTGCCTTTAGATGCTGACTGTTATAACGTAATAACACAGGCTAGTCCAGGATGTGCTAAAAACATCAAGCCTCTAAAGATGTTCAAGATATGAAAATCGAGAACATCCCTTCCGCTATCCCATGTTTTTACCTTTTCTTCCGCATCACAAACAGCAACTCCGCCATGAGCACAACTGGAGCTTAAGGAAATTGGCTGGAAATA